TGATGGGCGCAAGGAAAGGTGGAGATATGCCAGCTCGATGCACTGGCTGATGAGCCCTGTCACCGGAGCAACCTCAACCGATTTCCTTTTGGAGAGGTCTTCACAGATTTCAATCGTCAGCGCCATGACTCCTTTTTAGTTTGCAACATCGAAGAGCGACTCAAGGGGAATGCCGCCTTTGTAGTGCAGCAACGGCAGGCGCGAGCTGTCCAGCTTGACGAGGCTGGCATGGTGGTAGCAGATCATGGCGAACCTCCGCAGGTGGGCGCTCTCCACCGAGATCTTGCTGGCGCTCGGGAGCTCCTGCAGTGTCAGTTCGGCGAGGCGCGGGCAGCTTGAGAGCAGCAGCAGCAGTATCCCTTTTGGGTCCATGATTTTGGCGAGGCAGAGCGTCTCCAGCGACGAGACGATCACACCCTGGGGCTGGGGCAGGTTGAGCGTCCAGTTCGCGAGCCTCAAGCGGTGGAGCGTGTTGCACCGAAGAGATGGTGCCGTGTCTTGACGTTTCTGCTCCACTGGTGGACGTCGAAGACTGTTGAGGCCTTCTCCGACGAGCCTGGCGTCCGAGGTCGTGCCAGTACCTGAGCTTGATGTCGATCTCTTCAACGCGGAAGGTCACAACGGAGACTACCCACTAGTCCAGCAGGTCGGAAGGTGGGTACAAGGCGTCGAGACGGATGGTGTGGATGGGCGTTTCGGGGGGCTTTCCAAGGATCGCGATCGTCACCATCTGGTCGAAGCAGACCGGGAGGTGCTTGTTCAAACATCATCCCCGTTTGCCTTTCTTGGGGCCAGCGAGGGCGATGACGGGGACATCCGCTTAGACGCCGCTCCATCGGCGAGCGGCGGGACCACACACTGGTGTGCACGGCCTTGTCGGACGTGAGGTGGAAGAGCACGAGCTGGAGCGCCCTTCAGGGAGGGCACTCAGCTGGTCCTCCTGCCTCCCCCCCTCGTCTCCACCCTATATTTGTCCACGAACGCGTTCGGACGTGGCCGCGGACAGTGATACGGGAGCATCCAACTCTGTCCGCATACATATCAAACTGGATTTGAACAAACCGGCCAAATTTAATGCAAATAAGTCGATTTTCATTAAAACCAGACCAAATTCATTACATTTTCGACATATTTCATTAAACAAAAGCGGTCGGACCCTAACCGAGTCTAAATCTTGCCGGCACCCGTCCTCCAAGTCCTTGTTGTTCCCATTCGTGTCCATGTTCGACGACCGTGAGCCCCATGAAATGAAGGTGCGGTCACCGATGAGGAAGAGTAGGACATGAGACACGGACCGACCCATGTTGAGATATGGCCAAGTATATCCGGGAGGGTTTAGCGGGTGGCTGGGGTGGTTAGCGACGACGTCAGCGAGGGAGGAAGTGGATGCAGTGAAAGAAGGAAGAATGAAGACGCAGGATGGGAGCGGAGTTTTGGATGGGTCGGGTTATTGGAGTCCTACTTGGTGGCCGATTGGACTACCGCAAAGCCCCTAGTTTGCTTTCGGTTTACGAGAAAATGGACGTCCGGATCAGCACGCGGATTGGTGTTGGATGACAAAATACATCCAGACCGCTCAGTTTGGACGGCTGTGGACGCTTTGAGGGTCAGCGTTGGAGATGTGCTTATGCACCAAACCTTTTTTTTTTTTGCAAAAGTTGGATATATACTCCCTCCAGTCCTTTTTACTCTGCATATTAGAATTCTCTAAAGTCAAACTTCACAAAATTTGATTATATTTATATGAAAAAAATATCAACATCTGCCATGCTAAAGTTATATAATATGAAACTTTAAATCATGACACATCCAGTGGTATTGATTTCTGATTGTGAATGTTGGCACGTTTTTCTATAAAGTTGGTCAAATTTTACTAGGCTTGACTTCAGTCAAATCTTATATGCGAACTAAAAAAGATCGGAGAAAGTACAACGCATTTGTTCGCGTAGTCGTTGCCATAGATGGCGACTAGCGCAGTGGAGCGAGTAACTAGTTGCTATGAGACCCGCAAAAAAAAAAACTAGTTGCTATGAGATTTCAGATCCTTGACTAAGTGTCAACCCTCTTGCCCAGATTTCAGATCCTTGACTAAGTGTCAACCCTCTTGCCCCTGCCATCACTCAACCGCTGGACGTGCTAATCGGCACAGTTAAAACAGATCGAGAAAGTATCCACCAAAGATTTTTTTTTGGGAAGGTCGCATATATACACCGTAGTCGTTGCTACAGATGGTGACTAGCTCACTTGAGTGAGTCAGCTGTTGCTGTGAGATTTTCTTTATCTGTGACTAGCTCGGAGCACCTCCACTCCACAACTCCACTTCTAAAATTGGTGAAGTTAGAGCAACTCCAACGGGCCGACCCAAACGGACGGCATATTTATTCGTTTTTTGTTCGTTTGGGTCGGCCGCCCACCCGGCGTCCGTCCAGTTTTGCATTTAGATCGGCAGTGCGTCCAACGCGCCGACTCATATGTGCTGGCGTGGCCGGCTAGCTGCCCAATAGTACATTGATCTGCATTTAACATATTATCAAATTAAAATGTTTAGTCTGGCCGCCCAAATAAATAATATAGTTTTACAAGCCAAATACAAATAAAAATGTTTCACATAGTTTTGCAAACGAATAAAAGAAGATACATCTATTGGTTGCCAACATGAGCCTACATATGCTCAAACAAATCATTTTGCAGTTACATGTGAGTTTCCTAATCACGCATGTCTTCATGAAATTGAGTGAACTGCTCAAATGTTGCCGCTACTCCATGCTCAGGCACAACATTCTCACCCTGAAACTAAAAGCCTTGATCGTACATATGTTCCGGGCGCTCGTCTTCTACGATCATATTGTGCATGATCACACAAGCAATCATCACATCCCACAGTTTCTGCGTGTTCCAAGTATTAGCAGGATACCGAACGATGCCCCATCGAGATTGCAAAACACCAAAGGCACGCTCGACATCCTTTCTAGCACTCTCTTGCTCTTGGGCAAATCTTTTCCTTTTCTCTCCGACAAGGTTGGGTATTGTCTTGACAATAGTGGTCCACTGAGGATAGATACCGTCACCCAGATAGTACCCTTTGTCGTAGTTGTGGCCATTGACAGTAAAGTTCACCGGTGGGCTGTTGCCTTCGGCAAGCCTAGCCAACACCGTTGAGTGCTGAAGCACGTGGATATCATTGTGTGATCCAGCCATGCCAAAGAAAGAGTGCCAGATCCAGAGATCTTGAGACACCACGGTCTCTAGTATGACAGTGCAAGCCCTGACATGTCCCTTATACTGCCCTTGCCAAGCAGAAGGGCTGTTCTTCCACTCCCAGTGCATGCAGTCTATGCTGCCAAGCATCCCCGGGAAGCCCATGCTGGCATTTATCGCCAAAAAACGGGCTGTATCTTCAGTTGTCGGCTCTCTCAGGTACTCAGGGCCAAACACAGCAATAACAGCCTTGCAGAACTTATACAGGGACTCTAGGCATGTAGACTCGCTCATACTGACGTACTCGTCAATGAGATCACCGGGCACTTCGTATGCAAGCATTCGGATGGCGGCAGTGCATTTCTGATAAGAGGAGAAACCAATCTTGCCGACGGCATCCTCTTTGCACTCGAAGTAGTCATCATAGCCGACCACTCCCTCCGGAACCAGCGGCGGAATTTGTGATGTTTGAACAACGGGTTTGTTGTATCAAAGTAGTCCTTCCAGAGAAGGAAATGCCCGCTCTCTCGGTTGCGATGCAACGCCGGAAGGTGGCCTGGAATGGAGCCACGGAACAACGGCCGCTGGCTGTTGAGGTGGTGATGGACCAACACGGCAGCTAATATCTCCTCGTCGTCGTCGGACGACGAATCGTCGGAGTCGCAAAGAAAATTGTGGAAAAAGAACTCGTCGGCGGAGTCCATTTCGTACCTTGGCAAACTGTCGAACAGCTTGCGGGCGTCGACGAAGGAGGCGTCCGACGAGTGTGCCGGTCAGATGTGGCAGGAGCGGCGAGGCGGCTTCTTGGTCGCGGGCGGCTGTGTGGTGGGGGAAGCAGCGGTGTGAAGCAGTTTGCTCCCCGGCGGCAAAACGGCGGCGGAGGGCGACGGGGGAAGGGGCGGCGGTGCTGGGCAGATGTGGAGGCGGCGGCAGCTGGAAGAGTCGTCGGAAAAAATGGGCGGCGGCGTCGGCGACGGAGGAGGCGGGTGTTGGCCGGGGGGTGAGACGAGAGACCAATGTGCCATAGATCAGTGGGCCCGGGGACAGGAGTAGGCGAGCGCGCACGCATCCGTCGCGTGTCCGCGCCGACGCAAATCCGGCTCAAAAATGAGCCGGGAATGGGTCGCTCGCGGACGAAAAACGGACGCGTGTCCATTTGGGTCGACGCGTCGGGCCGTCTTTTGTGTCCGCGCCGACCCAAACGGACGGCCGCGAACGAAATATGTCGCCTAGAGTTGCTCTTGCAGTTGAAAATTGCGAAGCAACTCCTGGAATTTTGTGGAGATGGTGAAATTCCGAACAGGCTCTAGGTGTCAACGTTTTTGTCTCTGCTGTCACGCATGTACGTATATATGCATGTAACTGTCAATTGGACTAAGTGTTGACTGGAGTGAGCAAGCTGTTGACTGAGAATCTGTATGTGTATATATTATGTGCTCGTCACTCCAGTACCATCCGTCGTCTCCAAACCTTCTCAGGTGAACCTCAATCAATCATGTTGCGCCCCACACCACCTATGCAGCTGGCAATGGCTCTGCTCTGCCTCCTGAGCATCTCCGGCGAGCTTTTGACGCCCGTGTGAGGGGTGTGTGCAGGCCGATAAGAGAGCGCTTCTGGACATCTACAGCCAGCTCTCCACGCTGCCGCACATCGACTGGGACAGGTCGGACTGGGGCTGGGGTGACGGTGACGGACATTGCTGCCAGTGGGAGGGGGTGACCTGCAGCAACTCCCGCCCCGCCCGTGTGACAGGCCTCGATCTTGGTGCAAACGTTCCTTCCCCGTGGCTCCTCAACGCTACTATGTTCCTTCCCTTCCAAGAACTGCAGACCCTGTCCCTGTATCTAAATATAAAGGGATGCATACCTGGTGCAGGTATTCTCTATTCAGATGCATTAGTATTTTAACTATTTATTATAACCAGTCTCTAGCTTTTCTCAAGCTCTTTTGAAATACCAGTCTTTTTTTTGGCAACACATCCAAATTATATTGTCAATTTCTTTTGCGAATCAACTATGTTGCCATGGCTATCCTAGTTTCTTTAGTTCTACCGCAGACTGTTTTGTCTTGCCATCTCTTCTGTTGCTTCAACACTTCAGATTTTGAATTGTTCACTGAATTGAATTGTTGCTCCTTTTGCAGGTTTTGATGTGTGGTCAAAATTGCGAAAATTAAGAAGCCTTGATCTATTTGGAAATAACTTAAGTGACTACAGCATCCCATCCTTAGTTGCAGTTTCGTCACTACGGCGCCTGTCCATCAGTTTTAATAACTTGACCTCCCCTGTGTCGATCCAACGTGAGCTTCGTAGTTCTTCACTCTTTATTCCTGAAGACTTCTTTCTTCTTTTTGTGTGTGTCAAGAGCATCTTGGAGACCAGCAATTTAAATGCTTTAACTTGCTTTTCTTGTACAGATTTGAGTACAATGAAGCTGGATACTCTTGATCTAAGCGGTAATGCATTCAACGGCACCTTACCAACAGGTGACTAATTGTTTTTCGTACTATTAATTGTATACAGTACCTCGGTGGCCTTGTGATGAGCTAAAGCACAAGAATGATTTTGGGCTACATATAGATCCTTCTATTTCTAAATAAAAAATGCCTCTTGAAGTTAGAACTCCACTTACTACTCCTTTTTTAACAACTCCTACTTGTATGATGACTACTCTCTCCGTACAAAAATATAAAATGTTTTGGATATTTCAACGTGTACTACATACAGACTGAAATGAGTGAACAAACACACTAAAATGTGTTTATATACATGTGATTCAAAAAAAAGTTAGAACATCTTATATTTACGAAGAGCACTATTTTATTTCTCTTTCAACAATTATAAAAATATAATTAAAGCATGTTCACTACTTCACTTTCAGGTATTTGCGACATGCAAAATCTTGAAGAATTATATCTTGGTGGAAGTACGTTGTTTGGAGAGCTTCCATCGTGCATAGGGAATCTTACTTCTCTCAGAATCCTGGATCTGTCGAATAATCTATTTACGATAAAGTTTCCCTCTCTTAGCTTTGCCCATTTGACTTCATTGGTGGAACTTTCCCTATCCAATAACAATCTTGAAGGAGTTCTCTTCCTAGGTTCCTTGTCAAACAGTAGCCAATTGACACATCTGGATCTTTCAAGCAGTGGTAACCATTTTCAAGTGGAAACTGTGACTCCAACAATTAGCCTGTCAGCTCAGCTCCAGGTTATGGTACTGCCAAACTGTAACCTTAATGGCAATTCTGCTGTTATATTAAGTTTCTTATCGCATCAACATGCATTAGAAGCTGTTGATATATCTAATAATAACCTAAGCGGCCACTTCCCTTCATGGTTGATAGAGAAAAATGTGAACCTGTCACATCTAAATCTGCAAGGCAACTCCTTTAGTGGAAGTCTTCTTCTTCCATCCAAAGTACACAACAGTCTGTACTGGCTTGATGCATCTCATAATAGACTAAGCAAATTACCTACGGGCATCAACATCACATTCCCAAATCTGTACTATGTAAACCTGTCTAGGAATTCCTTCCAGGGCATCTTTCCTTCGGGGCTTCACTATATAGACAGCCTGACATTTTTGGACTTGTCTAACAACAATTTCTCCGATAACATAGTGTCTGCCTTTAATGGAAGCAAGTCCAATATCCGTTCTTTGTTCCTGTCTGGCAACAATTTCTATGGTTCATTCCCTCAAGGCATACTATTAGGTTCCACCTACCATCTACTACTCAACGATAACCAAATCACCGGGGAAATCCCCGATAATATATGTCTTGGTCAGCAGCTTACTTTGCTTGATGTTAGCAGTAACAAGTTGACTGGCTCTCTCCCTACTTGCATACATGCACTCGAAAATATTGCCATCTTGAATCTAAGAGGCAATTCATTGGGTGGATCGATTCCGCTGAAATTATGCCACCTTAAAAATCTTGTGTTCCTCGATATGTCAAAAAACAACCTTTCCGGTCCAGTGCAATGTTTACCCAGTTTGCAGTATCTTCACCTGAGTGAAAATCGACTAAATGGAACGTTCCCTTTCCCGTTGTCCTCGGGAACTGATACATACACAATGGATCTACGGCAGAACCAATTCAGTGGAATCCTTCCAGAATTGATGCACAAGTCCTTTCCAAAGCTAAAAATATTGTTGCTCGAAGGAAATATGTTTGAAGGACTGATTCCAAATGATATATGTCACTTAAGGTATTTGCGTCTACTAGATCTGTCTCATAATAAGCTGCTGCCTTGTGACCATGAGGTCACGGGTTCAAGTCCTGGAAACAGCCTCTTGCAGAAATGTAGGGAAAGGCTGCGTACAATAGACCCAAAGTGGTCGGACCCTTCCCCAGACCCTGCGCAAGCGGGAGCTACATGCACTGGGGCTGCCCTTTTTTTAGATCTGTCTCATAATAAGCTCTCTGGACAGCTACCTTCATGCCTGAGCAATATGGGGTTTGATGGTGATTTGTATAACTTCCTATACAATGACTCAGATACTTCAGTAGTAATGAATCACACCAATGGCTATGATATTGGGAGCGTAGTAGGTACTTCTCCCGTGCCTGAATTTTTCATAGGACCAGACCAAGAAGAATTCATGACCAAGAGCAGGCAAGACAAATACAAGGGAAACATCCTCAGTTACATGTCTGGACTTGACTTCTCTTCAAACCAGTTGGAAGGATACATTCCTAAAAGTATAGGTGACATGAAATGGTTACGGGCACTGAATTTTTCCAACAACTGCTTTCATGGACCAATACCAGATTCTTTGTCACATTTAAGTAATCTCGAGAGCTTGGATCTGTCGCACAACAACTTGACAGGTCAAATACCACAAGAGTTGGTAGAACTACATTCTTTGGAGGTATTCACTGTGGCGTACAATAACTTGTCCGGCCCTACATTGGGTAGAAACGGCCAATTCATCACATTTGATGAGAGCAGCTATGCAGGCAATCCATATCTCTGCGGACCACCACTGCTGAAGAGTTGCTTTGATGCACCGTCGATTCCTCAGCCTGAAGAACATGAAGATGATAGTAAACTTGCCAATCTGGCACTATTCAGTTTTTCAGTGTTGTGCTACCTGATTGGTTTCTGGACCTCCTTGGTTGTGCTTTATTTCAAGAGAAGCTGGCGCTGGTCATGGTTTTCAGCAGTGGACAGGCTTGGTGACATTCTGATGGTTAGGTCAGCTTTATGCATGAGAAGGTTTAACCGCACCGACTGACCCTTCTTGAGTGTCGTGGAATTCATCGTTTAATAACTACTAGCAAAAATGCCCGTGCGTTGCAACAGAAGAAAAAAAATGCATATTCCTAAACATGATACAAGATCCTCACATATCTATAACCTCTATGTCAACACGACGCCCCACTGTGTTGGTTCCACCGCTTATCCTCCTTTCCGTCCTCACAAGAGCCGAGACTAATGGTTGTATTCGCGGACACCAGCTTGTCGAACAAGGACGGTTTCAGCCCGGCGGCGTCGATGTCAAGTGCTAACTTGTCAACACATATTGTGGGCTGATGGTCTTCGCTAAATCAAGTACTAATAATAACACTTAATTGGACCAATAACATAACTTATGTTACATAGCCCAGAAAAATATTATTGCAAAAAGGTACGGATTGAAAAAATTGGTTCACAATCATTTACTGGAAAATATATTATGACAATGTTTGTCGTATATATGGACGCAGGGGATCAATGTTTTGCTTTAAAGTTCTATGAAGTGTTTGTGGCTCATGCCACATTACATTTAGAAGAAGAAAATCTTATCATCTGTAGGCGGGGGCTAGCACTTTAGAGAAGTTATACCCTCGAGATTCACTCTCAAATAAAATTCAAAAGTGCAAAAACAGATCTAACAGTAGTCACAGTACAACTTGGCAGCCTCCTCGTTTATTAACTTGCCGTTGTTCTGATGTAGATTAGGCACCAGCCTCTCTAGCTATGAAAACTCAAAGTACGTACTAAATGAAATCCTTCTCAACTGTGTTTCTGCTTCCACAATAATCAAAAACTTTTTGTAGCAACATCAACAGTCAATACATTTTATTTGTGCAGACAGAAATACATATCACAATATTGTTACTCCACCCTCTCGAGCAAATACATCATTGTGAATTAGTGGGTTGCACATAATTAGGGTCACATAATGGATTTAAGTCGGGTGGAATTTAACATCGTGTAAACTCGAGTGTAGTACACCCAAGAGTAGAAATCCACTCATTTCTCATCTAAATCCACCTTGTATCTTTGGTACTGCAGAAACAGATCACGTCAATTTATAAGCAACAACATTATCTAAATTTATAAGCAGCAACATTATCTATGCTCTCGTATCTTTAGATGTGCAATAATCAACAAGTCTCGTCATGAACAAATTCGCTGCAACCTCACCTCTCTGTACAACCACGTGAGGCTTGATCTTGCTGGCGAGCAAGTTTACTGCAGCCTCAAAATCTTCACACAATCTTGTTGGATAACACATGCACGTACACTTTCTTACTGAAAAGAAATTTGGTACTGCAACCCTTCTGATTTAGGCAAGTAACAGCAACATAGTGCTGAGAAGTAGTATCCTCACTGTAATATAATAACAGTGTCAACATTATTTCTGAGAAGTGAGTGGAAAACTAAACTGAAGATGAAACCCCATTACTTTTGATTTTCAATACAAATGAAAGGTGCAATATAATAACAGTATAAAACTTCGATAGGAGTGATGGGAGACTGAATGGCATTTTCAGATTAACCTGCATATGAATGAGCATAATCCATAGTGATAGAACAAATAATTCCTTGTCACTATTAAGAATATCTTCTGCTTAAATTGTGAATCCATCTGCATCAGACATCTGAACCCGAGCTTGCTTGATATGCTGGATAGCCATGGTGCAGTTGTGCAATTTCTTTTTATGTGTACCTGATGGAGCAATCACTTTCTGAAATAAAGTATAGTGTCATAGTAATAGCAATAAGCATCAGGATAATGTGGGAGCTGAACAACTCTACATAGAGTTATGGCATCATGGAGACGTTGAAATAAATTTCCTATAGTGAAAACATACTGTGACAGCACAACCCATAAGGAAAGCTTAATTGGATTATTCACCAAAGATTCAAAAGAAACTTATAACCAAAACATAAGATGTCAAGAGTTCAGAACTATGTGGGATAGTTATTGTTCTTTTGAGATCATTATTGCATAGTTGTAGAGCACGGCAACGCCGGCTATCACAATAATCTTGCTGATAATTCAGTTTGTAGCCCATGGCTGATAGATGCGTCAAGAGATCACCTTCTGCATGAAAGATTCTTCAATTGATGAACAAGTAAAAGAAGACACAACCAGTTGAATAAAATACATGCAGGTTTGCAAATAAAATTAAGCATGCATGCCAAAAATTAAATCCGTACATAAGCAGAACATGTACCATGAAATCAAATGATAAAAACGCCTACCAAAACTTTGCACAAAGGGCCGCCAAATAAAGAAGATAATTAACCACACTCTGATGGGTACATGTACGCGTGTGATGGTATTGCACGATCAAAATTCACCATTGTACTTTAGAAGTATTATCGTGGACATCAGACTACATACCTCATGATGATGTATATCCTGATTTGACTGCCTATTGAACTGGAGGAAGCAGCTGGTTGTGCCCTCACCACTGTCGTCGACTCTGTCGGGCATGTATTAGATCACTGATAGTACTGAAACCGTACAATTTCTGACATGCAAGTAGTAGTTTCGTTGTAAGAAAATTAGTTCCAATAACTATAGTGAAAATATATTCAACATGTAAAGCAGTGGGTACTAAATACTGCATGCACGGTCCAGTAGACGCAAACTCCCTAGTAGCTTCACACATATGCACATAAAATTCCAATCACACACATATGCAGATCTTCAATTGTAATTAGCATCCATGATGCTGGGGTCAGTCGAGAAGCATCGCTATCACATACTGCCTGAGTAGTCATTAGAGTAAATCAGTAAATCTCTTTGATTGAAATGCATACATGCTTTTGAGTAACTCTGAACAAAGAAAAAAGAATTGCTCGCTGTCATGCGTGGGATGGTTAAAAGTAAGAGGGGTCAATGGAACCATTGGAGTCATAGGCTCCTAGTCACGCCGACTCGCCGAGGCTGCCATCTAGCCGGCAACGCAGTCGGCGCCTTCTCTGCAGATGGACGAAGGTTTTGCATGAAGTTTGAAGTGGGAGGACGGAGGTCCAGCGACTCTAGACGTGTGGAGATCGGCATCTAGCCTGCCTAGCGGATCCATACGTGTGTGCACGAGAAGCAACAGGACAACATCTAATAGCAAACTTTGTACGTTGCAACTTCAAGCTAACATTCTTCTCAAAATCCATCAACCTACTTGTTTCAGTTGTGCATGGACCGATTGATCCAGGCCGGGAACAGGTCGCAAATGGGGTTGACCGCGCAGGTCTCCCAATGAGAGAGCTGCGTCTCCAAGCCGTCGGGCGGTAGACTGGGAGATCTCCCATGAGCTCCCGCTAGCACCAACCAGACCGAAGCATGCAGAGCCTGATTCACCTGCAAGATTACTGTCTCATCATCAACTAATCAGTGGCAAATCACAAAGTACATGTTCAGAACGATCAAAAGCAGGCAGCAATAGCAACATCGAGATGCAGGCGAGGGCGACGACGTCACCATGAACGCAGGGAGGTGCAGCTAGGCGGAGGAGGTGTGCGGGGTAGGGAGAGTGACGGCTGGGCAACCCCTATCGGGCAGCGGGAAGGAGAGGAATCCAGAAATCAAACCTGGAACTGCCGACAGGAGCCGCCGCCGGACCAGCAGCAGGAAGCCGCGCCGTCCCTACTCTGCCTTGTCTTATTTCCATCTCATCTTCTCTCTCTCCCTGTCACACCCCAGAGGAGATCGAGGCGGATTTCTACAGAAGGATCACATATCTCATGAAGGAGAAAGGGGAAAGTAGGGACGAACTAGGGTTTGTATTGATATAAGATGTATGTTTGAGTAATGAAATGGTTCTCCCAATGATTGATTCCTTACAAGTCGACGGGTGCAAGCTTTATAGCTCAGCTGGCACGCAGTGACGGTAACAGTGCAGTAAACGAAACGCTACAGGGAACGGTTGAAACGGTACAGTGAGTCGGCGAGCAATGTGAGCCGTCCGATCAGCAGCACAGCGTAGATCTTGGCCGTTCGTTAACTAAAGAAGAACGACACTTGTTAACTGAAGAAGCAGGCCTGACAATGCCCCCGGGCGAAAACGAACTTGTCCTCAAGAAGGTGATCTGTTGAACCAACGATCAATGGTTGCTTTGAAGAATGCAGGGAAGGTCTTCTTCATGAATGATTGGTCTTCCCATGATGCTTCATCAGGTGGTAGGTTTTCCCATTGGACTAGCCATCGAACCACCGACAGATTGTTGCGTGGCACCTGGCGAGTCTCCAATACCAGAACAGGTTCAGTAAGTATCAACCCATCTGCTCGATCCAGAGGAAGATCGGCACAGGGAACGGCCGAGTGTCCAACATGTTTTTTCAACTGGCTGACATGGAATACTGGGTGGATGCTCGTGTTGTCAGGTAGGAGGAGCTTGTAAGCGACGCGCCCAACTTTGGCTATGACCCGGAAAGGCCCATAGTACTTGCTCTATAGTTTGATGTGAGAGCGTGCGCCAAAGGCATTCAAACGGTAGGGTTGCATCTTAAGATATACCATATCCCCAACTTCGAGTACTCGCTTAGTTCGTTTGCGATCTGCATATTTCTTCATGCGGGCCTGTGCAGCTGTTAAATTGGTTTTCAGGTGCTGGAGAAGTGCATCTCTGTCAGAGTAAAACTGCTGAGCTTCTGTTGACATGTTGTCAGGTAAAATGTTCTCGCAAATGTTGGGAGGTGGATATCCATAAGCTGCTTCAAATGGTGTTTTCTGGAGGGAAGAGTGGTATGATGTGTTATACCAGTACTCGGCCATGGACATGTGATGTGCCCACTTCTTGGGCTGAGTAGATGTCAGGCAGCGAAGATAGTTCTCAATGCATTGGTTCACACGCTCCGTTTGGCCGTCGGACTACGGGTGGTATGCAGAATTGTATCGCAGTTCAGTGCCCATACCTTTGAAGATTTCTTGCCAGAGCTGACTAGTGAAAATGCAATCTCTGTCAGAGACAATGGCGACTGGAGGGCCATAGTTTCAGTACATTATCTATGAATGC